CCCCCAAAGCTTCCCCTAAAATCAGCCACGCAGCAAGCAATTGGACAGTCTCTCGCGCAATGACAGACTAACTCCTCTTTCTGCTGAAAAGTGAGAGCAGCTGACTCAGGGTGTGGCATATATACAATCTGCTCCCATAGAGCAGAATGGGAGCTCTGTGGTTGGCTCCCAGAGCTGCCAATCAAGTTATGGACAACTGCTATGGGTGTTTCTAAAGCTCTCCACAAGTCTACCCCCAGCATTGCCTAGGAATTGATTGAATCGATGCCAGGCTGTCCAGAGAACTAACCACTTCAACAAACCAAATGAACCTCCATGGGGAAAAGGTGGCTCGTTTTTGGGTTCAGACACAACACAACCGAACAAACCGGTTCGAAATGAACCACGAACCTGATCAGTTTGTGCTCAAACCATGGTTCATTTCTTGATTCGTGCCCATTCCTACCACCCACCTCTAGAGGCTGGACCACCATCAGAAGAAGCAGAGATGAGAGAGCCTCTCGAACAAGTGAAGCCAGTCCCAATGTCCTCGAAATTGTAGCTGAAGGTCAGGCTTTCGGAGTCACAGGTGCCTCTTCATGAGATACTTGGTAGGACAACACTGAGCCAGGGTGCAAAGGACCCCACTGAAAGGGAGCACTGTATGACCTGGATAAAACAGATTATACTATTCCTATGGTATGGCCAGTCAGTCACCTAGTAGCAGTCTGGGTATTGAGGTTAGATCAAATGAAAATAATTGGGATTCCTAAGGAAGGCTCTACCTCAAGACCAGTGTTCCCTCTAAGATGAGTTAGTGTGAGCTAGCGCAGTTTTTTAGCCTCTGGCTCACACATTTTTGTCTTAGCTCAGCAAGGATGGCTCCAGAGCAAACTAATTGATGCCACAGCCAAATTGCTCACTCACAACTTTAATGCCAGTAGCTCACAAAGCAGAATTTTTGCTCACAAGACTCCACAGCTTAGAGGGAGCATTGCTCAAGACTGAGACCAAGAGACAGGAGAGGAGGCCCTAGAGGATTTTTGGGATGGGGATGGCACCTGATCTGTAAGAGAGCAAGAAACTAGAGCTGGATGAGAAGGATGAATCAGGCAGTCCTCAATCCATTACTCCAACAATGAAGCTCTGGGTGTCAGAGAGATCTCTAATATGACAGCAATGGTATTATCACAGACATAACATCCAAGATCAATACCAGCATTGGGGAACCAGTGAAAGGCAGCACTAGGGACAGGGAAGCATGGAACCATAGCAACTGCCTCCATGCTTGAACAAGGCTTTAGTTCCTTTGCCCTGACTGGAGACAGCAATTTTTCTTCTTGGAAGGATGAAAGTGGAACACAGAGTCCTTATGCAAAGGCCCTGAAGTCCAAGCTTCATTGCCAAGCTACTGAGAATCTGATGAGGAAAGAGCAACCTGCAGTGGGATGGCTGAGTGCACCATTCCCTCAGATACCACCTGGGCTTTCCCCCCAGAGAGTAGCCTAGAAATGAGAGGCTGTCTGACTGCATCAGCTTCATAAATTTCTAGCAACTGATACAGGCATCAACTTTACGCTGCTCCCCTAGGCAAATGAGACAATGGCCATGTCTGTCCAAAAATGGTTTGTCCCGATGTTGGGACTGCCAGCCCCCCCAAGCCACCATCGCCGCCACGCCCGGTGCTCGGGGAACGACTCCGGGACCCCACTCTACTCACCAGGGGGACTGGGGAGCTCTGGGACAGACCGAAGAGCAGAGGGGGACCGACGGCGGGCCACGCATACCCTACGAAGAACAGCAGCAGCGGAGCCGCTGGGAGACAGTGCACCTGCGCCGGGAGAGCTGTGCCGGGCCGCTCAAGCTCCACATCCCGCACAGAATCCTTCAGCCGCAACCCACCTGAGTCGGAAGGGCTGACAGGGAGTTCCAGCCCCTCCCTTGGGTCGGCATCTTCAGCTATACGGGGAGGTGGGGTTTGAGGCTGGGGGTGGGCAGAGAGCACAGGGAACGCTGGGACACGGGGGGGAGGGATAAAAGAGGGCAGTACCGGGTGGCTGATGATAACAACCTGGATTGGAGAAGGCTTAGGAGACAGAGAGAGACGTTAAGAGCCGGCCATCCAGAGGGAACGGGAGCGATGGGGTGGTGATGTAACCCCCCTCCCCGTTCAGGTGTCTGAGGTCCCTGACACTATTAAGGGTAGGACACCAAGGTGGCGGAGAAAGAGAAGCTGGAGGACCACAGTAGCGGCGAGGGGGAGCCTTCTGGATCTTGCTACACGGTTGTTTTCCCTTCATTACTGAAAGCATTTAAAGATGGTCTTCTGTGCAACAGATGCCTAAGTACTGCAGTATCCTGAGAAGAAAACTATTTTCTCTTTATAGCCTAACAACTATCTGTAAAGAAAGTGCTTTCTTAATTGCTAACTATTTGTCTAATCAATAGTTTAGATCCTCTTAAATTGTATGTATTGCTTTAACCTCTCAGGTCATGTTTGTCTAAGGGTAAGTGTTTTCTTTTGAACTATGGTGCTGGAGAAGACTCTTGAGAGTCCCTTGGACTGCCAGGAGATCAAATCAGTCAATCCTAAGAGAAATCAACCCTGACTGTTCCCTGGAAGGCCAGCTAATGAAATTGAAGCTCAAATACTTTGGCCACCAAATGAGAAGGGAGCACTCACTGGAGAAGACCCTGATGCTGGGAAAGACTGAAGGTCAAAGAAGACGGGGACGGCAAAGGATGAGATGGTTAGACAGTGGGACTCAACTGTGCTACTGAACAAAAAAAAAGTGTTTTCATGACCTAGGAGTTCAAGTCTGGATTTAGGGCCTGTAATAAAACTGCCCTCATTGACAAATGAGTGAATCTTCTCCCCGGATACCGAGATAACTTTGCAAGCTCTTAGTGACTTTGCAGAATTGCTTTCAGCTGTGATAAAAGAGTGTTCTGGTGTTGACCATCAAGCACATTCCAACCAATTAACTTTGTAACACCTGGATGTGGGAGGATGGAGCAGAGTATTTTCCAATGCCCTAAGCATTCTGGGAGAGAGGCATAAAGCATGCTGGGATAGACTGCATATGATGGGATGTAATTGGCATGGCAACCAAGTAAGTTGACATCACTGTTCTGACTTATGATTGGATATTGTCTTGACCCAGGGAGGGGTCAGTTTTCTATAAGAATAGCTGTATTTCAATAATGGCTAGCTGGTCTGTGTTACTGAGCCTATTCTGGTCCAGTAGCCAGAACCCCAGCCATCATGCTTCTGGCTTTTGGGACCTGAATGGACTTTGTCTGCTATGCTTGCTGATCAACTGCACAACGACTATCTATGGAGAGGTAATATGCTTGCTTTAGAGTTCAGTTAGGCTGGAAAAGTTTAGAGTTTTTTAATTTTGTAATTCTTCACTAGTCTTGTCTTGGTCTTATGTGTTATGTGCACCTAATAAACTAAAATATATTTTATTTGAATATTTTGTCAAGTCTATGTTAAAAAGTCTCAAAGCCTAAATCTTGTTTGCCTAGCCCTTGACCAACTCTACCAAGAAGACTTTTGTTTTGTTTTGACTTTTGCCCTGCAGCCACATAACCTGCAGTTCTGTTTTGCTTTGTGAGTTCCAGAAACCAGACAGGAGCTTTTGGTCCTTTTGGTCTCCTGGGCTGTTGGGAACTACCTTAAAGGGACCTGGTGGCAGTACTACCCTTGGGGTTGTGTTTTGTTGACTTTTGTTTTGTTTTGCCCTCTTAGGGAGAGTGAGAGAGAGGACCATTTTCCCTCTCACTTCTGAATTTTTGTTTTGTAAACCTTTGTGAAAGTGGGAAAAGCCTTTACACTATCACAGTAAGAACACCTATAACCCCCCCCCCCCCCCGTTTTTTAGAATAAACTGGCTTTGAGATAAAGTGCGATTCTGCATTGGCTTTTCCCTCCATTGTTCTATGAAACCAGTGTTGGAACAGAAATTCCCCTCTGCATCGCATGCCGCTTTCGCTTCCTTTGATCATCGGGTTTTATGACATCTTCTGCATAGATTTATGGCCATTCAGGGGTGACTTTGCAGACAGTACAGCATTGCTCCAAAGAATCTGAATGTGGTTTTGAGCTGAACTTTTTCCTCCCAGTTGAGAAAATGTGGAGCAAATGCTAGATGCAGGATCACCCACAGACTCTCATGAAGAAGGTTCCCAATCAATGAAACCACCATGGCAAATGAAAGAGAACTGAACAGGAAAGGAGAACTCTTACATTTTGAGCACGCACAATCCAATTTTCTTCTCTTAGGGGGTTTCTTTTATTAGGGGGTGAGGCTCTTCTTGCCTAAATGCTATCTCTAGAGGATTCTGAATCAAGGCTCTGAGCAGTTGCAAAGCCCATCAATATGATGCAGAGACCATGAAGAAGTAAATACATAAATATATCATTAACCATTTTTAACATTTATGCGTGGACAAAATTTCCACCCAAAGAACTCAAACCATCTCTTAAGCATTAATAAATCTGGTCATTTCTGTTTAATGTTCCCAATTCTATACTTACTTGATATTACCTTAGACTACTATAATTTCTTGACTCTTGAGCCTGACTCAAACCACAAAAATACATTCCCTGCACAAAACAAAATTAAGAGTTTTAAAAATTAACAGTCAATAAATGTCAACTTTAGCAACCCAGATTTCAGAATCATTAAATACTATTACATTTCTATCCTGCCCTTCTTTCAGGGAATTCAGGGTCACATATATAGTTTTTTCTTCTCCACTGCATTCTTAACACCCACACAAAGTACATTAGGCTGACAGTGTGTGACTGGCACAAGCCACCCAGTGAGCTTCAACAACAGACTGGGATTTGAACCCAGATCTCCCCAAATCTAGTTAAACATCCAAAATGATACATCATGCTGGCTCTCTGAGTGATGTCTACCCCATTTTTAGAGTACGTTATTGTTTTAAAACCATAAAGCTGAGCTGACAAGAAACAATCCACAAAGATTTGCAATAATGATGAAAGCCAGCATGTTCTCACCAAAAGAACACATTTTAAAACAAGTTCCATCCATAGAAGGCAGCTTGTAAACTGCTTTCAAATAATCAAGAGGCCTAACCATGAAATGAGCAGAAGACACTTACTGTTTGTTTCATGGCTGCACAAGTCATCATGTATAATGTCTTTAGTTTTCTGGTAAAGCAATTTTCTTGTTCCACTAGACAATCAAGATGGCTTATGTATGGACCTGGTGGGCACAACAGGAATAAAACAAAGTTTGGACATTTAAAAATGTGGGCAATTTTCAATATTTATTCTTTCCCATCTTGCAACTACTATCAACTACTGAAGATCTTCTAAAACAGGGTATTATTGGACCAAGTATAAAACAAATTTTATTAAGGCTAAGTAAAATGACAAAAAATGCTGTGTAAGCTTTCAGGTTTCCCAGTATTTTCATCAGGCTGGGTATTTAAATGGCTGGTGGCAGTGGTATGCTGCCCCTGAATAAAGATTGAAACTGAGCACAGGTCAGAATCATACAGAAAAGGGTGGATTTTTTTTCAAAATCACCATCATAACCCATATAAAGGGATAGAAACAGCTGGGGGGAGGAACTATCCCAGGGAAAGGTTAAGAAAAAAAATGCCACACTCTTCCCTCATTTTGCTATGGTGCGTATTAGCTGCAGAGTGCCAAAGAATATCCTGCTTTACTATTCTTCACTTGGAAAGATACACACAAGTAGGTCACACTCCTGTTTGTGTGGGGTTATGGCAGACACCTCCACCTCTTCCACCTGCAATATTCCACCCTATCATCACTCTGACCTTGTAATTAGGAAAAGGCAAACGTCTTCCTTTTGCCGTCCAGTTCAATAAGATACAATATTCCAACACCTGTTCTAATCTTAAACAGAAAAACGTGGAGAAAAAAAGGTTTATTTTTTCCTCCTCAATATTTTTAATTTTTTTATAATTGAAACTTTGGGGTACTACTGAAAAAATTTCCTACGAAATATTTTCTCTTTGAGTTAAATGCTTTGAAAGACAATGAAGGCATGCTGTAGACATATACTTTTTTAAAATCCAAGATACACTTCAACATCTAGAAGGATACTAATCTGTATGAGGGGAGAATGGATGGTTTTCATCGCTTCTCAACTATTGCATGCCTTCTGTTGTCCTTCTGAGCAGACTGTTTTCTTGTGGTTGATGTCCCCCACCCAAACCAATGTAAAAAATATACCCACAGATTGGGTAACAATTAGTTTGGGTAACAAGTAGCTTATTGGCCTACCTTTCTGGAAGGAAAAAAAATTAGATGGTATCCTTCTAGATGTAGAAACTGCACCAAAGCCTCAAACTCTAAAAGTTTCATGGAGAACTGAGCTCTAACTAGCAGCCACAAAATGAAGGTAACAGCATCTAGCTGGAACTAATGTATATGTGCTAAGGTAGCACAGGGTGTATCACCTTGCTGTTTTCTCTAGTATTGTGTATATTTACAACTTTGCTTGTGGAAAATAGCTTTTAAATTCCCTAAATATGTCAAATACTGCAATTTTATATGCTAAGTTATAAATAATACATTTTATGTTGCTAAATCTGTAAAATTAGGTTTGATAATATATTAAGTAAGCATTGTGCATATATTTTCCCACATTTTCTATCCCCCCCCCAAGACTTCAAAATTTTCTGAAAGTTTACATCTTTACCTGCAATTTCACTGAAACTGAATTCTAACCAAGACTGTTTTGGATCACACTGGTAGGAATCTACACATTTTCATGAAGTGGCACCCAATAAAGTATGGCAACCAAGCCTCTTCATAAACATGCCACAACTATGTATCTGGGGATATTCATGTTCCCTCCACATTTTGTGTACCTGCTATCATATACAGGTTGCCATATAAAGTGTAAAGCAACACTTACCTCTATGCAAATACACTTAACATCAGGATACACGAACACTGAATAACTTTAGACCACAATTAAAAAAAAACTCAAAATGCAGTATTCAAATAAATGATTTTTTAAATGCTGCATTCCTTTCACAACTGGTAACCATGAACTTATAACAGAAGTGTAGCCGTCAACTAAAAATTGTGGGCACATTTTCAAAAAATGCATTAACATGTAATACTTTGTAAAAGAATGGAGTATTTGAACACTAACATGATCAGAGAATCTGTACTTTCTGCTTGAACCTCTCTGAAGGGGAAGATCAAAATTAGGCCTCAAGAATGCAAAGCTGAAAAGCCCAGCAATAGAATGATTGATTACCTATAAAAAGGGCTACTCCATTATAAAGAGCTTACACAATTAAAACACAAGCATACCCCCAGTATATACAAACTGAAGCACCCTGGACTGTATTATCCTCCTTCTGCATTGCGGAAATATTTTCAAAGGCGAGGAAGAGTCAGCATCTTTAGCTAAATGTAGCTCTCTAGGTATACATAAGACTGTCCTCACATTTTCATACCATCCTACACTCTGCATTTATAGTTTCAAATCAAACTGCAATAACCATTAACAATCACTACATGATTTTTAAAGGATGTGGATATGACATTTAAGCTTTCTTACTATTCCCATGATTAAAACTCTGATTACTGTAATATATATACATATGACAGCAGGAAAGGAGGAAAGGGCTAATACAGCTCTTCAGATGCACACAATATCTGAAGGGGTTGCTTTTTTCACACCAAGTTATACCTGATTTCCAGGAGTGCTGAGAATCTGCAATTCATGTGGGTCTCATGGAAGATACAGATGCGTAGCATTTTGTAAATCAAGGAACAGAAACTGGGAACCCAAGATTTTAAAAATATCCAAAAATCAGCACTGAGAGCACTGTTATATTCAGAAAGCAGGCCATCTATTCACCTGATTTATAATACTGGATTCTTCTCCCCTCCCCTTACCCAATCAACATTCAAATGGTCTGGTATTCATTCAGTGTTATTATGCTTATATGTACTTGTGTAAGAGGGGGAAAAGCCATGAGTTTGTGATGCAAATCTATTTCTAGAACAGCTATCCAATAACTTTTTAAAAATCACTACACAAATTAGAGTAAACCTGATAGAGATCTGAACCTCTGATTCTCTACTCCATACAGTAAATTGACAGTATGTTTAAAATTAACTGCATTGTATTACAAGATGACATAGTTCATAGTTAGCAACTACAGTGACCCTCAGCACCTTGCATCTTACCCTACTATTTCCAGAGACTAAATAGTAGCAAGAAGTTGCCAAAGTGCCAGAGGAAATACAGTAGATTATTTTTTCAGTTACTTCTGCTTAGCTACAGTTAATGTTTAAAAACTCAATAGTAAAGGGTTACAATTTCCATTTAAAGTTAAATTTCTATACTTCGTTTACAGCAAGATTCTGTAAGGCTTGGGTGTTAAAGATTCAGTGTTGGTGTAACATAAGATTTCATGGCTTGAAACTAAATAAAGGTAAGCCATCAGCTTACCTATCAGGACCACTCTTGGGCCAGACCCAGATCCAAGAGAGAACTCATCAAAGGATGAACAAGATGAGATAAGCAATGCTCCCTCTAAGCTGTGGAGTCTCTTGTGAGCAAAAATTCTACTTTGTGAGCCACTGGCATTAAAGCTGTGAACACACAATTTGGCTATAGCATAAATGAGTTTGCTCTGGAGCCATCCTTCCTGAGCGAAAACAAAAATTTGTGAGCTGGAAGCTAAAAAACTGTGAGCTAGCTCAAACTCACTTAGCTTAGAGGGAACACTGGAGATAAGGACCACCACAAGGGATATCAGGAGATACCTGACACCATCCAGATCCCCTGGGCCTCAAATAGAAAGATCTTTCCCCTGAGGACTCAGCTCCAGATGCTGCCAGTGTACCAGCCTCTGGGGCAGCCAGCCCCCTGCCTCACAGGGCCAGATCCCAGACCATCAGTCCTCTAGGTTTTCTCTCCATCTGGCAGGAGTGGTAGACACAGTGGGCCCACAATGAGGCCCTCAACAACAACAAAGCAGCAGGCTGGCAGTTCATGCAGGAGCACATACAGTGCTTTGCAGAAGCACATACAGTGCTTTGCAGAATCCGGGCTCAGTAAAGCCCAAAAACAGGTGGTGCTTCTTCCTCGCCTGGGTATTTAAGCCCTGGTCTAAACTGACAACTTTGCTCATTCAACCAGTCTGCATGGCCAGTATGCTTCTGTACTATCTGTAAACCTGGACCCAGCTATACCTCAACTATGTGCTCACTGGAAGACTGGACCTAGCCTCCAGCTACTGCTAACTTTTGCTCCTGATCTGTCTGTGGTCTGCTACAAGCCCTCTCTGTCAGCGACAGAACTTTACCCAAATGACACAAGCGCTTCACTGACAAAGAGGGAAAGGAGATAGGAAGTAGCAGAACTGTCAACTTCACTGGAGCCACAAAATCCATATGAACCATGTACAGGCCTTGGTCTCTAGAACTGCTGTTTTCTGGCAAATAACCAGCTGAGGATCCTGGCCTCACCCAGGATAAGATAACATAACGCCAACACAAAACTCAGTTTGTGCTGCTGCAATTGGATTGACTAAAATATTTTGTAGTATATTCTGCCAATGAGGTTAAACTTTTTTGTTCCACCGTTTTTAACAGCAACTTGCAGAGTATATACTGAAGCTACCCAGGTTCACAAAATATACTGAGAACTGTCCTATTCAGACAGCAGTCAGGCAATACTCTTAAAAGTACTCATACTAGACTGCCCAATTCAAGAAAATACGATTCAAAGATACCTCTTAGGCAAGACAGTGTATTCTGCAATGTTTCTGTTGTTCTTAATTTGGTGACAAGTAGGTTTTAAAAAACAAGGAAAGAGAGCAATAGCAGTGTATGATATGATTAGAAAGTGAGAGCAAAGTGCTTTTGGGAAACCTAGAGAAGGGCTAGCATTAATTTTTACTTGATCAAGACTCTATATTTTGCATCAGGGAGAAGCCTGATCTTCCCCAGTCTTCCCCAACTTAATCTATCCATTCCAAAAAAAACATATGGTAGCCTCCTTATAATCTTTCTTCACACTACTTTCCACAGGCATAAACATTTTACATTCCAAGATGCCCCATCTGAATTTCAAAGTGGCATGGTCCTAGGAGAATTATACCATATGCCTTTTCTTTAGATCACCCCTCACATCCAAAGAAGTACTGGTCAAAGAGGGCCACCACAGGGAAGGCAAAAAGCAGCCACACACTCCTCCTTCCCTATGCCTGGGCCCAGCTCCAGCTTTTACTGTTTTACCTTCTTAAAGGGTTAATTCCCTTGAGAACATACCTGTGGGAAAGCAGTATATAAGCAAAACAAATAACCTTCAACAAGCCCCCAAGATCACCTTCAGCTCCTCTGCCCTCTCCCTGTGGAGGAAACAACCTGGACTATTTGCCAGGGGGCAGAATTTGCCACACACGCACTCTCTATATGGTATATATGGGGCTGAATTTTAAATCATTGTAAAGCGCTTTGGGGACAAATTTTCAGGTTTTCTAAACACATCCACACCATTATTAGGGATATTTGTTATCTCTGACTGCTACAGAATCAGTAGACAGCCCCTTCTTGTATATACTCATGTCTCGCTTTTCTCCAGCAAGATCCTCCTTCAAGACAGGAATTAATGAAAGGGGAGCTGTGTCAAAAAACTGCTTGTGATAAAACTGGAATTCACTATATTCATTATATAAGCAAATATAAACAGCTTGACAAGTTTCCAATGCCTATTGAGTTCAGACAGGAAAAGATACTTAAACTGCATTTTCAGCTGCTGTAAAAAGAAAAAGGCCTTTGATACTACTTCATGCCCATCTTTCTCTCTTTTTTCATTCTAAGCCATTTTGGCAGCTGAATAAGCAAAATTCACGTATGCATTTATTACATTTCTACAACACCTACCTACTTCAATAGATGCAGCTGCTGACTATTTAGGATATAGCAATGAATACAGTGCATACCAATTAATACATTCAAAATGTGTTCTTCAGCCATCTGCTGCAGCTCATGAACAATGGTACATCAGAGAGATCCGTCAACTCGATTCAACATTTCTTTTTAAAGCTAGCCATAACTTACTGCATTCGAGGCTCATCCTTCCTAGCTCTGCTTGTTTAAGAAAACCCTCTACCTACGGTTTTCATTAATATATATTCCAAAATGTAAAAAGCACTGAAAGCGAAAATAAAACGGGGGAAAGAGAAAATTGACAGGGAAAGTAAACAGCCAGGAAATTATTTAAGAACACTGCAAGTGTATACGCGTATGAATGACAGGAGGAGTGGAGTTATCCTACTTCCAAAAAAAGTCCCTAAATTCCATTTCCAGTGCATATAACCTAGGGAAAATCCCGGTCTGTTAAGTGGCATAAAGGACAACGGGAGAGAAGCCAACAAGAAGTTCAGGTGCAGAAAGAAATGGCCACGTAATTCTCCTCCGCCGGACTCAGGAAGAGTCGAAACCCACTGAGGGTTTCGCGGCTCCGAAGGAAAATGACCACCGACAAGGACAGAAGAAGGGACCAGGTCCCCACCAACCTAAGAGCCGGGCTTCCGTAAACGAAAAGCTCGAAGCTTAAAACACCCGAACTTGCCCCGGGTACAGAGCTCAGGAGGACACGCACACACACACTCAGGATCCTGGCCCGATCCGCAAGTGCGCAGGGTGTACTGCGCCTGGTCAAGCCCCGCCGCTGTTCTTCAACCCTGTCTACACCGGCCCTTCAGCTCACCCCCTCTTACCTCGGCTGAGGCCATCGGGCCGCAGCCCGCGGCTCTTACTCCACTTCTTCCTCTCACTCCGCCATTTTCCCTTCCTTGCCTCGGCCACCCAATGGGGTCCCGTGCGGAGCGACCGCCCCGCCTACCTCGACATCCCCCTATTGGGTTAAGCTCCTATCAGTCACTTCCTTAATTACATCCGTTATTGGATAGCCGATGCAGCCTTGAGCGAGCTTCGGAGGACGCCCTCTCGAACGGTCCCCCTGATTGGCGAAGAATGGGACGTCAATTCGAGAAGAGATTGGCTATTCTTAAGTGCCTAAAACGCCTACCCTTCCGCTCCGCGGGGTTGGTGGGATAGAAATTAACGCCAGGGGTCTGTATAAACTGCCATTCTGGACGCCCCCTGCAGGAAACGCATGAGCGGTGCAAATGCGGGTTGTGTCAAGAAAGGGCTGATCATGTACGGCAAAAATAATCGAGGGGCCAGTCAGTGGTATAGGTTCTTAAGGAAGGAGTCAGTCCTAAATTAGGGAACGTTTTTATGGCTCTATTTGATAATTCTACACTGATATTGTAGCATAATTATACAGAAGTCCAGCGGTACCTTAAAGACTATCAACATTTTCCCCAGCTTTCATGAATCGAAACTCACTTCTTCACATTCTCTGAAGGTGAATTTTAATTAGAAAATGACAAAAGGGATTGGGGGTGGTTACAGAGAGGCTTGGTGTAAATCTCACAAATCTTTCAGGTGTGATTCTCTGTATAAGTGACTGAAATAAATTAAGCTGTTACCAAAAACAACAACATCAACTTTATAGCCAGCGTTTCTCACTGTGACTGTAGATGGATTACAAAATATGAAAGACAATTCAGAATGCAGAGATCTCTTATAAAAAAAATAATGCTGTGGAGCTACGATTACTTGCAGAATTGAAGATTATGAGTCAAGTTTCAGTCTCTCTTAAAGTAAACAGATTCACAATAACTAATAAAGAAGCAGTCTGAAGCATAAAAATTTAACTGACATCACTAAAGGCATATAGCATATGCAATGTTAAGAACAGCCAAGTGAAGTTCCTGAAAAGTGGATCATATTGAGCTGATGATATTATCGACATCCAAATCTCTGTTGAAGCCAGGATGACAGATGATGATTAATTGTTTGATGAGTTCTAATTCAACACTTTTGCATTGCATTTGATTTTTTTTTTAACAACTGTAACTTTCAGGTTGGTAACAGTGTAACAGCCTCACAACATTATGTGGAAAATGGTTTCTTCTCTCTAGCATCTGAAAAAGTGAGCTCTGACTCACAAAAATTCATGCTGGAATAAATGTTAGTCTTTAAGGTGCCACAGGCATCTGATTTATAATAGCTTTAGGTTTTCGTCTCCTGGGGGCAGCTGCCTTTCTTGGATCATGGGCAGAACATGTAATGTTACTTTGCCTCCACAATATTTTATACAATTAAACACAGGCTTCTAGATATTCAATTTCAGCGCTTGACTGAGGCAGCCAGGAAAACCTGTTCCCCAGTTCATCTGAGACACTGGGCCAGACAGCTACTTATTTTTGTTCTCTAACTAATCACCATCAAAGAAGGGAATTTATGTTAGCCAGATTTAACTTATTGCCATTGGCCATCTTTTCTGGAAGATGCCAAAAGAATCCCCCATGAATGTCCCTGTTCTTTTAAATTGTCCATTTTATACTAAGATTTGAGGAAAATTTCTGGACACCCTTCGTTTTACATGGCGTTGTCTTCCTGAGAGTATCAAGGTCCAGTTGCTACTGTCTGGGCAAAATGCTTGTATAACTTTTAATGTTGCTTGTTTTCTTCAATCTGTAATTCGAACCAGGGAAACTATTAATTGATCAGTTCTTCTTTGTTGGCTGTTCGACAGCCATACCTTTGATGTATTCCTAAATTTTAATGTTATCTTATCTCTTACATGCCAATAAAGGTCGTCTGTCTGTTACTTTTATCCTCTTCTTGGGGCTTTCTTCAAAGCAGCAGGCTGGCTCTTTATAGAAACAAAAGACTGGGTTTCGGAGCATTGTAAGGAGCATGGAGAGGTGCTCTGCATTTATAAATGGTTCAGTCTATCCTACATGACAAAAAGAATGTCACTGCTAGTATTGCTTTATGACAGCTATAGACATCCCCCACGTCACGCAGCTTGCCTTGACAGCTCTGACCAAGCAGCCATTGGGACCAACAGGATTAACTGCAAGCTGGAGATGGTGTGAAAAGTGGGATCCAAACTTATGGTTTACTGCACCTCAATTAATGTGTGATTTAAATAATACAGTACTAAGGTAACTCTCATCATTTGTTATACCTGGGGCTGCAAAGTGATAAGTGAGAACATTTTTTTGGGGGGGGTAAGTGACCCTGAGGCCAGAAGAAACAGGAACTTCAATTTCAGCGATGTGGAAGCCTGAGCATAGATTGCCTTGATAATATGATTCAATAAACATAGCATTTGTATTCAAGATTCAGCTGGATCCTCTCTTGCATTGGGGGATAAGATTTCATTTGGCTCAGCCGACTGGGCGCTGGGCCTGATCATCCCCCCTCACTCAAACAGCCAGGAGCTGAGTGCAATTTAGCATTTAACAAGGGTTGCAAATTTCTAGGTGAGACCTGGAGATCTCCTGAAATTACAACTGATCTCTAGACTGCAGAGACCAGTTTCCCTGAAGGAAATGGCTGCTTTGGAGGGTGGATTCTATGGCATTATATTCCACTAAAGACCTTCCCCGCCCCTCCCAAAACCCTGCCCGCCTTAGACTCCACCACCAAGTCTCCAGGAATTTCCCAGCATGGAGTTGGCACTCTATTTCCATTTATGCTGTACCTGTATATTTGTAAAGGAAGCAAATATGATAAAGACATGGCAAGTCTCCAGTAGTCTCCTCCTTTTGATGAAAAATTACTCCCCTCCTTCCAGTACTGAGTACTTTCTTGACCAACCTGGCTAAGCCGTAGCCCCAAGAACTATGCATATAACTTCTACAAGGGGGCATGGTGACACTGAGTAAGATGGTGGCCGCTTGACCTTTAGGCTCTGCTTCCCTCACTTCTCCTGAAGCTTATACTGCACCAATATTGCAGGGATCTGCCATAACTATGGGGAAAAACAACGGCAACATTTCCCAAATCACTAAAACTGTGAGTAAATCCACACAAGACTTCTCACCACAGGAGAACCGTCCGGACCAAAAAGCCTCTGGCGCTGAAAAACCTAATATGGCGGATGACAAGACAGTCTCACACCTGCTGGAAATGGTGTTGAATAAACAGGACTTACCGAGCTTGTTAGAAAGAATGGAAAGAAGACTAAGGGACCAAATACAATATTCTATTAAACCAGTAAGAGAACAGCTCGTGGTAATTCAAGCCGCCTCAGAGAAAACTTCAATGGCAGCTGAGACAGCCCTTAATTTGGGCATGACCCTCAAAGATGACGTAAGGGAAATGCAAGCCAGAGAAACTAACACACGAGAACGATTAATGATCCTTGAGACCCAATTTAAAAATTAAATCTAAAATTTAGGGGTCTCCCAGAGGGGGCGGAGGGAAAAATGGATCTCATTTGTTTCACCTCGAATTGGTTAGCCTGCATTCTACAACTGGAACCTGGAGTAGCGCCGGCCATTTTGAAGGCTTTCCGTATCGGTCTGCCTGTCAACCCTAAAAGAGCTGGTCCAAGGGACTTGTTAGTTCACTTTGCTGATTGGAGGACCAAAACAAGTATTCAAGAAGAGGCCAGAATCAGGGGATATCTTTTATTTAATGATATACAAGTGCTGGTCTTCCCTGATGTACCGCAAGAAGTCCTCACCATAAGAAGATCTCTGAAAGCGGTGACTACGCGCCTGCAGGCAGCTAACATCCATTATAGGTGGCTTACCACTGGAAATATTCAAGTCTCTCATCACATATCCCTTCTGCATGCCTCGGATGAAGAATCTGGACTAGAGTTACTGGAGTCATTGCACCTCTCAGAAGATACAAATAACTACCGCTGTCCACAGAAGAGAAAAACGTGTTCATCTTCGTGTCTTCTGTGCTGGCACACATGGGACTGCCGGAAGGCAGGCCTGCCGCGGAAGAACATTCCAAGAGCTTTCTCAATCCTGTAAGAATTGAGTCCCCCCTCCCCTCGGAGAGAATTGTGAAATGAGCCATTTCCCGCCCATTTGGTCACGTGACGAGGGGAGGGGGAGGCACCTCTCTCTCTCAGTCCTTTTTTTGCCGCCGTGAGGAAAGGACATATTTTCCAGAGCTACTGTTCTTTTACCTCAGGTTTAAACAAAATTCAGTTTTTTCTTTTTTTTTTACCATCTTTTCTCTGGAGATCTCAACTCCATGGCTCTCTTCAAGAAATGCCAGGCTTGTGGGTCGAAGATGGCTACTACAGATGACCATCTAAAATGCCTCCTGTGTCTGGGAGAGGGCCACAACACAACCTCCTGCGAAATCTGCGGTATGGTAAGCCCGAGAACCAAGCAGGAGAGAGCATTAAAGTTGAAAGCAGCCCTTTGGGAGCAGACCTTGTCTCGGGGCACTAGTACTCCCTCCCCGTCGAATCTCACTACCGACGTCGTCAAGGGCCCTTTAAAATCCCAAAAGCCGAAGCAGGTCTCGGCAGGGAGGAGCCGGAAAAGGTCCGTATCTGCCCAACCGCCTCAGAAAAAGGCAAAAACGGGCAAATCTAAGTCCTCTACTGTGTCCCCGATGGGAACTGAGGCAAACTTACCGGCATCGCCGTTGCGCTCAACGTCGGAGCCTTCGGCAACCGCAGTGACGTCGGCGATCGGCGCAGTCGCAGCTTCGACGTCGAAGAAGTCCGTTTTCCTATCTAAGTCCTCTACTGTGTCCCCGATGGGAACTGAGGCAAACTTACCGGCATCGCCGTTGCGCTCAACGTCGGAGCCTTCGGCAACCGCAGTGACGTCGGCGATCGGCGCAGTCGCAGCTTCGACGTCGAAGAAGTCCGTTTTCCTATCTAAGTCCTCTACTGTGTCCCCGATGGGAACTGAGGCAAACTTACCGGCATCGCCGTTGCGCTCAACGTCGGAGCC